CATTTCATATAGATGTACATGGGTAAAAAATTTCAAGGAAATGGCACAAGTGGTTTTTGAGAAAAAGGTACATAAAGTTTGAAAATATAGATTTTCGGAAAACGAACAATAAAAGAGCCACTGCAACGACCCTTGAGGACCCTTGAGCACAAAAATCGACCCTGCATACATTTGTAAAAAAAATTATTTTTAGCACTTTTAATTGAGATATCGTAATAAAATAAAGGCCATTTTATTCAGAAAAGTCCATTCTTTTAAATAAAAAATAAATAAAAAAATTTAATTTTTTTCATATTTTTAGCCAAGTGCTCCCCTTGTGTAAGCGTTATAACCATTCGTCCACCAAGATGGTTTAGTTAATTTATTTTCATTAGGCATTTGATTGTAGCAGCCAGAAGATTTTTTTGGGGGGAGGGGGTTGGATAAAGTATCATTTAGATTCAGAAAACAGCAATGATAGAGTGACTAGACACGTTTGGGTAACAATAGAATCAATCTTTTGGGTAAAAGGTGATACCAGTACAATTAACTCTAAATTCCTGATAGCTAATTGTTAAACTTTTTTCTTGATTATGATAGTGGTTTAAATACCTTATTCTTGCAATCCGATTGTTGTCTTCACAACTAGTTTAGACCTGCTAGGAGGTCATCATCATTGTATCCGTACCAATTAGATCATCATTGATTATGACCTCCTAGCAGGTTGAAACTAGTTGTGAAGACAACAATCTGATTGCAAGAATAAGGTATTTAAACCACTATCATAGTTATTATTCGCAATCCGGAGGCTACTAACACCACAATTTTTTCTTGATGTCTGGTAGTGGTTGCTGATGCACGATTTGGTTATCTGATGGTAGCAATATTGCACAATGTACAACCCCTGTGTCTGGGAATGTCTACAGTTTTGTCTGAATGTCTGGAAGTGGTAGCTAATGTAAGATTTGGTGGTCTGATGGTAGCAACCTTGTAGGCCTGGTGTCTGGGAACGTCTAAAATTTTGTCTGAATGTCTGGTAGGGGTAACTGATGTAAGATTTGGTGGTCTGACGGTAGCAATCTTGTACAACCTCGGTGTCTGGGAACGTCAACAGTTGTGTCTGCTAGTGGTAGCTGATGTACGATTTGGTTGTCTGGTAGCAACCTTGTACCCCGGTGTCTGGGAACGTCTACAGTTTTGTCTGCTAGTGGTAGCTGATGTACGATTTGGTTGTCTGGTAGCAACCTTGTACCCCGGTGTCTGGGAACGTCTACAGTTTTGTCTGGTAGTGGTAGCTGATGTAAGATTTGGTTGTCTGGTATCAACCTTGTACCCTGGTGTCTGGGAACGTCAACAGTTGTGTCTGATAGTGGTAGCTGATGTACAATTTGGTTGTCTGGTAGCAACCTTGTACCCTGGTGTCTGGGAACGTCAACAGTTTTGTCTGGTAGTAGTAGCTGATGTAAGATTTGGTTGTCTGGTATCAACCTTGTACCCTGGTGTTTGGGAACGTCTACAGTTTTGTCTGGTAGTGGTAGCTGATGTAAGATTTGGTTGTCTGGTATCAACCTTGTACCCTGGTGTCTGGGAACGTCTACAGTTTTGTCTGCTAGTGGTAGCTGATGAACGATTTGGTTGTCTGGTAGCAACCTTGTACCCCGGTATCTGGGAACATCTACAGTTTTGTCTGGTAGTAGTAGCTGATACAAGATTTGGTTGTCTGGTATTCTGGTAACAACCTTTTACCCAGGTGTCTGGGAACGTCTACAGTTTTGTCTGGTAGTGGTAGCTGATGTAAGATTTGGTTGTCTGGTAGCAACCTTGTACCCCGGTGTCTGGGAACGTCTACAGTTTTGTCTGGTAGTGGTAGCTGATACAAGATTTGGTTGTCTGGTATTCTGGTAACAACCTTTTACCCAGGTGTCTGGGAACGTCTACAGTTTTGTCTGCTAGTGGTAGCTGATGTACGATTTGGTTGTCTGGTATCAACCTTGTACCCTGGTGTCCGGGAACGTTAACAGTTATGTCTGCTAGTGGTAGCTGATGTAAGATTTGGTTGTCTGGTAGCAACCTTGTACCCCGGTGTCTGGGAACGTCTACAGTTTTGTCTGGTAGTGGTAGCTGATGTAAGATTTGGTTGTCTGGTAGCAACCTTGTACCCCGGTGTCTGGGAACGTCTACAGCTCTGCCCGGTTGGATGGCGGCTGGTAGCCAGTCATGATTAACGACTGCTGCTGCTCGCGTCGTTTTATTAATTACACCAGCGCTGGAGACCAGCTGATGAGAAGTCGGAGATGCAGCCAACAATACACCTCGCTAATTGATTCGTGCCACTAAAAGGTCAAGGCCTTTTGAGCAAAGTGGAAAATCGATTTGCATTTGTATCGCGAGCAGGTGATTCTGCAAGATCTTTCAGTTCTTGATTGGTGAAGGTGAAGAATTCTTTTTGGTTGCAGTTATATGAACCGGTTCCAGAGATGGGAAAAGATTAAATAAAAATTGAACGCCGCTAAACCAGGATACGGGCAAAGATTAAATATCAAATTCAAATAACACATGAACTTATTGGTCTAGTAGAAGGCAATTTGAACCTATGCATGTAATACATACACCGCATTTAAGATTGTTGAGGTTAAACCTTTTGAGGTTATTTAACTTATAGGAGTTAAGAGTGTAACCTATTTAGCTTATATTTAACGAAGATATATTATTCATTGTGACCCATTGATAAAATAAAAGGATTACCTTATCCAACCACAGTTGCTGGTATGACAACTAGTTTCGTTCCTTAAAACTTAGTCAGGTCATTGTATGCAACCACATCATCAATGCAATCAGTGGTAAGACAGTGGTCAGCATTTACAGTTTTAACCAGTTTTATCACTTTTATTTCATTTTAATAATTTGATCAACATGACTAGTTTTGACTATTGATTCTGATAGTATTTTAAAGAATCTTTTGACATACTCCAATGTATCAATACATTGATGATGTTGCATACAATGACATGACGAAGTCCTAAGGAACGAAACTAGTTGTCATACAGTGAACTTTTTTTTTACGTGTTTTGCGGAAACTGTCCAAATCCTTGTCTCACTTTTATCTTGCATGTTCCTTAACCTCCTCAGATAATCTTGTGCATTACTCCTATCACATCCTCCCTTCTACTTTCTTTGTTCGGTTGTAACTGTTGAACAATAAAGCTCACGACTTTGTTGTTCTCGATCCTTTCTGATCGAGATTTAGATAGTATGAATTAACGAGCTGTTTATAATTAAACCCAGGACATCACTTACGATTTGCTGATACTTTTACTTGATAACAGAAAGAACATTATATAGTGGATCTTCACTTTGGAAATTTTATGGTTTTATATTTGTTTTAACATTGCTCAAATGTGAAACAGTTATATTTTTTCGTTAGCAATCGAATAATATAGTTCGCCTGGTTTAGTGGTTAATTTTTAGGTTAGAGGTTTAATTTATGTTTAATTTAGTTTCATCTACAAACATAAAGGTTTTTTAATTGTTCCAATTTTTGTACTTTGATGATGTTTGTCGAAAGTAGTAACTGTCAAAATGATTCATTAATTTAATGTTACACATGATTTTGGTGTATTTTCTTCTATTATCTTCTTTTATATAATACTTTTTAAGTTGCGATTTTAAATTTGTTGTGTTTATGCTGTGTTTGATGCATGTTTAAATTATTTCCTTAAAGCTTTGACAATGCAAGGCGCTTGGTTGGTTGAAGTACCATATTCGTGTTCAACTACAAACTCGTGATATACTGTTAACTCGCCTTTGGCTCGCTGGGGGCTCCGCCCCCAGGCCCCCTAGCTGTTAGTCGTCATTAGTAGATTAGAGTTAAGTTGTAACAAAGCAAGAAGTGAAACCGTCAATATTAAGTTATATAAGTTAACTTTGAGTAAGATAACTTCTAGCTTAAGGAACACCTCATAAAAAAATCATTTTTTAAGTTGCGGTAAGTGAGTATGTTAGTCAAGTATTTTTACAATTGAGTTTTTGGTCAAAGGAAGTAATAATATGAGGAGAGAAGGGTTCGTTATAGTAAAAATCGACATTAAAGTAATAACGATTTCATGAATTTATTAGAGGAGATTGATAAGTTAATAAGTTGATAATAGTAAAGTATTATATGAAGTAAATAGATTATAGTAGATATTCAAGTATATAATTACGAAAATAGATTAAGTAAGGTTTGTTTCCCTGTCGGTTAGCCATAAACTTTATGGCATATCCAGTTCCGCCACGAGGAGGCCAGGAAACGTCGGAACCATATTTGCAATTATTTGAATATGTACAAGTTAGTAAACTTTTGTACAAGATAAGTAAATTTATATTGATGTTCATTGATAGGTTAATAAGTTGATAATAGTAAAGTATTATATGATGTGAATAGATTATATTAGATATTCATGTATATATGATGTAAATAGAAAATAGATTATAGTAGATATTCATGACGTATATATTTATGAAAATAGATTAAGTAATGTTTGTTTCCCTGTCAGTTAGCCACAAACTGTATGGCATATCCAGTTCCGCCACGAGGAGGCCAGGAAACGTTGGAACCATATTTACAATTACTTACAAATGTACAAATTAGAGAACTGTTGTATAAGATGAGTAGATTGATTAGTATGTCGATTGATAAGTGAATAAGTTGATAATAGTAAAGTATCATATGAATTAAATAGATTATAGTAGATATTCATGTATATATTTATGAAAATAGATCAAGTAATGTTTGTTTCCCTGTCGGTTAGCCATACAATTTATGGCATATCCAGTTCCGCCACGGGGAGGCCAGGAAACGTCGGAACCATATTTACAATTATTTACAAATGTACAAGTTAGTAAACTTTACTAACTACTTTATACAACAACGGGGACTTTTGATAAGGCAGGCCCCCTATCGTACTGCCGATGTTGTCAAGTCACAACGGGGAGTTTTGATTAAGCAGATCCCCTAGCCTACTGCTAATGTCAAATCAGGTTTAGAGAAGGAGATCGCCATACACGATGTTCTTTGCGTATGCGATTCCATCTCGGACACGTTCGGGGTGTACGAGAACAACAATATGGTCTGGATGTCTGACCCTACTGAGCAAGACGTATAGTTGCCCGTGCGTGAAGCAATCGGTCCGTAAATCAACACCGACTGAATCTATTGTCTGACCTTGGCTCTTGTGTCCGGTCATGCAATAGGCCAACATCAGTGGGAACTGACGTCGACGAACACGTAACGGCGAACCCTCGACAAACGCAAAAGTAAAGGTAATCCGGGGAATTCCGATAGGTTGCGTCTGTCCGGGAAGTCTCACTGTAATCAGGCGGTTGGTGATGCCGATTACGATGACTTTAGTGCCGTTGACGAGTCCTTCAGCGATGTTGAGGTTCCTCATAATGAGGCAAACAGAACCGATCTTCAGCCGCAGAACATGGTCTGGTACGCCCTTGCCAGTAGCCGTGTTCAGGAGTTGAACGTCGACATCCAGGCCATCGTCGTTCTCTCTGTCGACTGTGTCGGCGCTCCTCAGCTCGTACAGATGACCGTCGAGGGAGTTCAAGATGTGGTCGTTGATCTCCTTGACGTTCACTATCAGAGTCGAGAGGATTGCGCGTCGCGAACACATATCAGAGTCGAGTAGGACGTTTGCGGGAAAGACGGAATCGACCAAATCAGTCAAAGACGTCACTTGTCTAATCCCGAGCAGCGGAATTAGACTTTGTTCGTTCCGTCCCTCCAAGAAAGTGGTCGAACTGACAGTTCCGTTGCCTACCCTAAGAAGGAATTCGGAATAGGCTGTGGAACTACTAGTCCGATGAGCTGTTGTCAGGGCAAAAATTTTGAAATGCTGCCACAGATGGGAAGCCCGAAGTGAGACACAAACAATGTCAGTTGGAGTACGAGCGTTTACAACGACAGGCGCGATCTGGCGAAAGTCGCCACAACAGAGGAATATTTTACCACCGAATAGCTCACTGGAACGCATGAGGTCTCGCAGGGATCTGTCAAGAACCTCGAAAACGAACCGATGTGCCATCGGGGCCTCATCAAAGACAATGAGCCTTGCGGCCCTGATGAGCTCTGCTCGCTGGGAGCCGTTGGTGATGTTCCAAAAGCCGGTGCCGTCACCGAAGTCGAGTGGCAACCGGAACATGCTGTGAGCTGTAGTTCCACCAGGCATGTTACCCGCGGCGATCCCAGAGCTAGCGACTGCCAGTGCAACCTGACGACAACCTCTCACGTATGCGAGAATGACACGAATCAGAGTGGTCTTCCCATAGCCTCCCGGGCCGTCAAGAAAAATGATTTTCGACGACGTTCCGCTGGCAGGGGCATTGAGAACGGAGGTAACGTACTCAAATACGCGGTTTTGATCTTCAGAGAGCTTTGGCACCCACTCCTCCACAAACACTCTCTGTTGATTTTCACCATGTAAGAGCAGTTCTCTGCCCAACTCCGTCGTGTCATCGTGTACATCGGGGAGGCCATGATCTGCGACGCAAGAACCCTGCCGACGAAGACTCCGATCAATATCGATGAGACCTAGCTTGTAGGCCAGTTCAACATCGAGAGGATTACGCTCTATGTGGTCCTCGCAGATGGAATCACGGAAAGCATCCCACAGGAGAGCTGCAGGAGCCCCCATGTTGCAGAGGATCACAAAGAAAGAAGTCTCGGGCCAGTCATGAAAGTGGCGGCCTCGCGCAGTGCGTAGTGGTACTCCTGTTCGTCTTGCACCAAGCCAAGATGCCGCGCGACCCCTTGAAAAGTGCGGCAGTTTGGTCCACCGCGGGACAGGAGGTCGGCATAACCACGGCAAGATACAGTCATAAGCAGGATACGCAGGTAATACTGTTCTGTCCTGCTCGGTGAGACCCAAAACAGTCTGCACACCTTCTCGCCACGCTGTCGGGCAGTGATAAAATGGACGCCATCGGGGTGCTCGTATATCTCCGCAGTTTTTGGGCGCTTGACATGAACCACAAACGTTTCATAGAACCCCTGATAAGTCAGGTCGTCAAACAGTGAAATACGAGGCCGGTCAAAGTAGATGGTGAGTTTGGAGCTGTTCCTAGCGGCTGCCTCTGCCAGTTGGCCAGGTCTAAACAGGACGGACTGCTTGCCCTCCAGATGGACGGGAAGACATTCAACAGCCGGCTCAGATTCTGATACTGGAAAGTTTAATAAACGCCAGCACGCGTCACTGGCACCCACCATTCTCTTCGTCACGTAATGCTGTACCTCATCATCTTGCTTACTGAAGGGAGTAACTGTGACGTTCTGGAGAGATCCTCCCTTCATAAGATATTTGAAGAGGTACTTAATCACGCGGCGAGTAGACGCCAGCTCCAAATTGATGTGAGCCTCGTATTTCAACATCAGTGCGGGATTATAAGGCACAACCCAACCGTCATGTACGATAATGTTCTTATTGCGTGATACAATTGTCCCCCGATTGGTATAATCTCGCTTGTACTGGACGAATCCCCTCTCGTCGACGTGGGTGGTTTCACAGCAGGGCTTGGGGAAGTATTTGGTGCAGTAACCCTTTGCAGAGTCCCAACAGAGAAAGTCAGTCCTATGATCATTACCACATGGACCGTGGATCATGTGTTTGAGGACCAACTTTCTCAGTCGGCCTCCGGCCTCTTCTTCCGAGGGAATATCCGCGCGGATGATGGAGTCAATTTCGGACGCCTGAACTGGTCCGTCGCCGTCAATCTTGAATACAATGTGGGCGTGAGGAAGGCCCCTCATTTGCATCTCGATGACGTAGACGATATAGACAGAGCGTCCAAACATTGCTCCGCTGCGCAGGTCTCGGAGAAGTTCCAGAAGTTTGATCCTAAAAACTCTGCAAGCAGTGCTAGGGTCACTGCGAGTACCTCCACGAGGGCAAGCTTTCTTGTTTTCCTCCCAAGTCGCGTTGTAAGTAAACGTCAAAAAGAAAGTGGGGGAACCCAGGCGCGATACGATTGCCATAGCGTCTTCGTATTTTACTTTCATGTACCTGGGCCCCCCGGTGAACGAACTTGGGAGGTAGACTTTTCCTGCCTGCACCCCACCCTCGCCTTGGACGGTTTCATCACGAGCGATGTCGTTCAAGACCTGCTGTGCATTCCGAATCTCGTCAACCGGCCCCACCCGCAAGGCACTATCGGTGTTCTTCAGCTGCGTAAACTTAATGTAACGCAGTTTCTCCTCCTCGTACCTCGCGAACATCTCAACCTGCCAAGCTTGTGAGAGACGGCCTAGGTGAGAGAAGCGAGGTTCAGAAAGTAGGAGGCACCGCGAGTACTTAAATTGAGTCAGTTTGGCACCCTTGTTATCAAGGCGGCCAACGTGCCATCCCACAGTGCCTTGCGGGTAAAGTAGGGGATATTGGAAAGGTTCCATTAGGGGGTGTAAAAGATCAATAAATGTAGGTCTATCGGAACCGGATTTCCATATAGTCAGTCTCCGGGGCTCAGTGTCGTTTTCATCATTGCTGAGCACGGCGTGCACTTCGACGCCTGTTTGCCGATCACCGAGAACAGGGCCATGGGTAGACCTGCTTGTTACTTCAAAAGCCAAGTGAGCTGTTACGGAAGGCTCGTTGCTCAATCGACGGTAATGCTCAATGTAAGGATTTTCCCTAGACAGGAAATCAGCAATACCGTCGATGATCTCGGCATCAAGCGATCTACCCATCGCAATGTTACGGCGCTCTTCGCCATCGTCAATATACAGGCGGGACCGATTCACAAACTGAACGTTCCCAGAACGAGTGGTGAACTTTTGTCCTGGGGCGTCCAGATTGTAGACCTGGTGGTACATTCTTCCCTCGATCTTGAAAAAAGAAAGACCACTGGGATGACGATACCCGCCTGACACTTCGAGCGCGCAGAAAGCAAACAGGTCGTTGTACGCACGGGCTCTTTCCAGGAAGAGACGGTCGGAATAAAAGCGTTCTTGCAACGGAGGAATGTCGAGAACATTGAACGCTCCTTCCCCGCAGCACCATTGCTTTCTATTCTTCTCCTCCTCGAAGAGCCGTGCTTGGCAATGACGACATCTGTAAACGTCGTCAACCCAGAGACTGACTTTTTTTAATTTGTATGGTTGTATTTCATTGAGTGGCTCCCCATTCCAAACAGACATGGGGCCATTTTTGACTACGGACCGAGCAAGTGATGCAGGCATATAGCGAAGTTCAGACATTTTCGGATTTTTCAGGCGAAAAATCTGAACTCTCTCAGCAGAAGCACCGGGATTACGCAGGTCGTATTGCTGAACAGCCTTTCGGTGCACCTCAGGGTGGGTTTGAGTGTAACGTTGACTGTCATCCCGGAGTTTGTCAGCGTGCGTCTCCCTATACTTCTTCTTCGCCACATCCACTTGCTCTTCTCGGGTCGTGTCTAAAAGCTTTGGACGACCACGCTTTATTGTTTTTGGTCTACCAGGACATTTGGTTTTCTGAACAACTGTCTCAGAGGCAGATTCTGATAACTGAGTTAAGTCATTGTCCGAACAGTCGACCGTGTGGACAGTTTGAGTTTCGTTGACGGAAACCTTTATTTTTGTGACGGAGTACTGCCCACCGACGAACGCAGAATTCACCAAAATGAGGGAAGCTAGAGAACGAAAACTATTACAGACGAACACCCTAGCCTTATTTCTCGCCTCATAAATGTCTCGACGACGGTTTTCGTTTACCGCGTGGGAATCAAAGAGGTACAGCCGCCCTTGGAAACGCCAAAAAGCGACTGTCACCAACTGTCCCGTAAACAAAAAACCGCTATCAACGGAGTCACCGGGCATAGCTGCTTCCAAAACCGAAGACAAGGAAGAGGTCACCTCATCTAGGCCATCGTTTCGTAACGGATACAACCCGTCCCAAACACAAGAAATTTCTTCGATGGTAACACGATGGTGTGCAACCACGAAGTGCCTGGCGAGGTCCTCAGGGAACAGATACCGGTTAGTGATGCTATGCTCACGGCGAGATAGTGTATACAAGCTATCGCCCGCCATGAGTATAGCGTCAATAGCGTTGGTACTGAATCCGCCGCAGAATGCTTGCCATGCGAGGGCACAGGTTGCATTTGCCATGCATTGAGCGTTGTTGCTCTCGGTAAATCTGGGATCTCCCTCCCTGGTGGAACGACCCAGCAGCAACGCAAGAGAATTCCATGCTTACAGAAAATTGCAGCAAAATCGCCAAAATAACAAGTCCAATAAATAGGAAGAAGTGACAGTGAAACTTAATCATGGGTAGCCAAATCCATTAGCAAAAATTAGAGCGAGAACCAAATGACTATACAGCGTTACTGACCTACGCGTTTTGGGGGTCAAGGAGTAAAGTTACGAAAAAACATGTGAAGGGTGAAATGTAAAGTAAACTAAGGAGAGTACGAAACATTAATAATATTTGAAGAAAAAATTTTTTATGTACGAAAAATTATCAAAAACCGTTAAAAATTTGAAGAAAATTTACCAAAATTTGAAAGTAGGGCGTTTTTTTTAGGTGAAGGAGTGCGATTTTCTAAAAACGCGTAATAGTGTCTTGTAGGAAATTTAATTCCTGTTCATGAAGATTCTTTCAAATTTTTGCTAGCTATTACCGTTTTTTAGTTATAGTCGGTATTAAAAACCGTGTTTTTTCGTTTTTATACGTCTACCATTTTGGATTTTTTTGGGGGTTAAAATTTTTAAAAGGCATTTTTGCAAATTCCACCATTAACGGATGATCCCATACTGCAATACTACAAAAATTTAAAGTCTTTAGAACGTTTCTAAACTAATCAGATGAGCATACCAAAGTATTAAAATTACATAGCTATTCTCCATAAGGATAACATGGGGCTGGTAAAACCGGTAAAAACCAATCAAATTTTCACATTAAAATTAAGTTTTTGGGGGTCAAGGAGTAAAGTTACGAAAATACATGTAAAGGGTGAAATGTAAAGTAAACTAAGGAGAATACGAAACATTAATAATATTTGCAAAAAATAATTATTTAGGTACGAAAACATAGCAAAAACCGATAAAAATTTGAAAAAAAATTACAAAATTTTGAAAGTAGGGCGTTTTTTGAAGCTTAAGGAGTGCGATTTTCTGAAAACGCCTAAGAGGGTTTTGTAGAAAATTTAATTCCTGTTCCTGGATATACTGTCAAATCTTTTCTAGCTCTTACCGTTTTCGAGCTACATCCGGTTGAAAAAAAAGTGTTTTTTCGTTTTCAGAGGTCCGCCGTTTTGGATTTTTGGGTGGGTTAAAATTTGAAAATGGGACTTTTGCATATTCCACCGGTAATGTAAGATCTTTTACTACAATACTACGCAAATTTGAAGTCTCTAGCACGTTTCTAAGTGGTTCAGATGGGAACACGAAAGTCGGCCATTTTTAATGTTATTCCCCATAAGAATAACATGGGGGGGGGAATTCGAATTTTCGGGGGGGTTAAAATTTGAAAATGCGACTTTTTGGAATTTTAAAATGCGACTTTTTGGAATTTTATGGGTGGTTTGGGCACTAGACCTACAACCACCGAAAATTTCAAGTCTCTAGCTCATCTAGAAGTGGTCTAGAATTTGTATCCCCAGTCAGTTACACATCGGATTGTATAGTATTTAGAAGACTTTTGTCTAGTTATTTAATATTTAA